CCCCAAAACCCCAAAACCCCAAAACCCCGTTAAGAAATATTAATCTAATTATATCACTAGATTATTGATATAATTAAAATGAAAACTAGTAAAATACTATATTATACATTGTCAATCTTTGTTGTTTTTAATTAGATATCTTTGAGCGAAGCATCAGTCACTGGGTCTTAAAATTGGCGTAATTGCCCTGACTAGTGTAAATTAATTAAAACCCTGATTGAATTTAGTATTTTGTGAGAGATACAGATTCATTGCCCAATAACAGGTCCGATACTATAACTAATCCTAGTTTTCCTACAGGATAGATGAAGACTCAATAAAAATAGTAATTTTACTTCTATTAAATAATCACTACCATAGTCTGAGGAATCAAATGAGTTGAGTGCAAATTTAATCATTAAAAATTACTCTAATTTCCTTGCTCCATAAATTAGATTTAGACTAAAATTATACGATCATTCTATCTTGCAGATCTATTTAACAGATGATGACTACTTTGAAGCTAATCATAGCAGATTTAAAATATCAGATCATGTGGGTGTTGAATGGAATTAGCTTACTTAAAATCAACATGTTTAGATTTAAAAATTAGATCATGCCATTTATATTAGTTAGCAGGATAAATTAGATAAAGTGCGATACATTATATTGCACAATCCTCTAAGGATTATTATGGAGATTAATGGTATTGAAGTGATGACAGTAAACTCCAATGATTTGCTATACTTTGAAAACAGAAAGATACATAAGCAGCAGTTCTCAAAGGATGTAGAGAGCTACTTTTATTATATGAAGGGATTTTAAGATTATAAACTTCCATAGAGTGCGGATTCTCTTGGTGATTTTGTAAACAGAATGTACATTGAAAATAGAGCTTAGATTTTTAATAATCAGCGGTAGATAAAAGAACCAAATTTTGATTTTAGAGAGAGTATTGGCTTATCTTTTAAAATGAATAGCTAATATCTTTATGGACTTCCAGAGAGAGCCGATGAATTTTTACTAAAAACTACTGAGAAGGCTCAACCATACAGAATGTATAACGTTGATTATTTTGAGCATAGAGCTTTTCATCCTTAAAATCTCTATGGATCTATACCATATCTTACAGCACACACTGATTAATTTGACTCTTCAGTTGTTTGGATGAATTCAGCTGAAACATTTGTTGACATATTTGATGATGATGAAAGTTAAAGTAGCAAAGAATATAAGGATAGGCTAATTACATATCTTAGCGAATCTGGTTCTATGGAATTCTTCATCTTCGGTAACTCTAATAAAAATGGAGGGCCAAAGTACATTATGTAAAAACTCGCAACTATTACTGGATATTAAGCAATGCCACCCTACTATTCACTAGGATTTCATTTTTCAAAATGGGAAACTATTAGTACTAAATCTTTGATCGCTCAACTTGAAACATTCGATAAATTTGAACTTCCTGTTGATGTTTAATGGCTAGATATAGAATATACAAGAGATCGTAAATACTTTGAATTGGACGCACATTTCTCAGACATTTAGGAGCTAATCGATTTAGTTGATTAATCTGAGAAAAGACTTGCTATTATAACTGATCCACATATCAAGGTTGATAGCTCATTTTTTGTTTATTAAGATGGAATGAGTGTAACAGTATCAGAGGATATGCTAGGATTTAAAGAAAAGGGAGTTTTTATGAGAGACTCTGATAGTAAAAATATATTCAAAGGCTAGTGCTGGCCCAAGACAAGTGTTTGGATAGATTTTTTAAATGAGTATGCAAACAATTATTGGGCAAGCCTCTATAGTTATGATAAGTTCAAGGGAACAAGCAAGATATTTGGATATTGGGTAGATATGAATGAGCCATCAGTTTTTAGTGGAGATGAGTTAACAATGCCTAAGAATACGTATCATATGACAAAAGATTATTGGTTTTATAAGCATGGTGATGTTCATAATGCATATGGAATACTCTCTGCCAAATCCTCATATCAAGGAATACTTCAAAGAGAAGCTGATTAAAACTTAAGACCATTTTTACTGTCAAGATCCTTTTTCTTTGGTAGTCAAAAGTATGGGACTGTGTGGACTGGGGATAATTAGTCATCAAGATATTTTATGGCTTTGTCTGTTTAGATGTGCTTAACAATGGGGGTTTCAGGACTTCCATTTTGTGGTGCAGATGTTGGGGGTTTTATAGGATATTCTCATCCCATCCTTCTGAAAGCTTGGTATTAGTTGGGGGCTTTCTAGCCATTTTTCAGAACTCATGCTCATAATAGAGTCAGATCGCTTGAAAGAGAGATTTGGAGATTTTAGCCAGAAGATTTAAAGCTAATTAAAGAATTTCTATACATAAGATAATCTATCATTCCTTACATGTAAGAATAACAGTTTTAATTCTAAATAGATACACCTTGTTTCATTTTTCAAGTAAAAATGGGATGCCTTTAATGATGCCCATGTGGTTTGAGTTTTCTTAGGATATTTAAATGAATAAACTAGCCAACTAGGTATACCTTTTTAGCCTATAATAGATTATTTTAGTATATGTTAGGAGATGCACTTCTGATCATTGCTCCTTTCCCAAATCTAAAAACGTAAAAATTAATATTTTAAACTTATGTTTAGATCAGAAGGAATTCTACCTTAATAAGTAAACTGGTATAATTTCTTTGACTCAAATCTTATGCCTAAAAAAAAGAGTAGACACCAAACAATCGGAATAGGTGTCTTTGTCAAAGAGGGTTCGATTATTCCAAAAAAGTATATTAAAAGACTAAGTGCCATAAGGACTTTAAGAGATCCATTCTGCATTGATATTTATCCAACTATTGAAGAAAACTATGCCAGAGGAGATTTATATATAGATGATGGAGAGACTTTTGATTTCAGAAATAAGTCTGAGTATACTCTAGTAGAGTTTATTTATGAGAAAAATACGCTTTTGATAAATCAAAAACATGCTAATTACTCAAGACCTGTAAGAGATGAAGGTATGGTGCTGAATTACTTTAAAATTTTAAATGTGCCGAAGAGACCTTACAAGATCATTTAATATCACAAAAATGAAATTGTCCAATCTCCTTACTATTCTTGGGATCAAAAAAAGAAGCAATTAGATATTAAAACCAAAGGGATGTATAAGCTCAATGAAATAAATGGGATATTTCTAAGAATTCTTTACGATTCTGATGAGTATCAAGTTAAGTCTTAACAGGATAATAAGCAAGATATTAAATCAGATTTGTGATTAACCTGATTTTAATTAGCACTAATATTTTATTAATTTAATGAAAATGATAAAAATCAAGATATTTTTGTCGGCGAAATTGCTTTTATTACTTTCAGTAATTACTATATTTCTAGCAATATGCTGTTATATTTACTCATCTACTTCGGAGACATATAGTGAGAAGTTTCTTAAAGTAAATGATCAAGAAGTATTTAATTAGTTCATAGCGAAATACAACAAACAATATTAAAGTAAAGATGAGTATTTCCAAAGATTAAAAATATTTTCTGAGAATCTCAAATATATAGAATCTCATAATAAAATGAATCAGGCTTCTCATATTCTTGGAATCAATAGATTTTCTGATTTAAACCACTCTGAGTATGTTTAAAAAATAGGCAAAAATTAATAATCTACCAAGAGATAATTAGGTGAGAATATAAAATATCAAAAGCATCATGAATTTAAAAAGGAACTTATGAGCTCAATGTATGGAAGTGGATTGCCAATGTATTATAATTGGAATGATAGAAAGGCTGTGAGTCCTGTCCATGATAATTTGAACTGCGAGCATGCTCACTGGGCTTTTGCAGTGGCAGATGTTATTGCTAGCACAGCTTTTATTCAAAATAATGGTGCTTTTGGCTAAGTGGAACTTGAAACTCTTTCTGCTCAATAGTTGATTGATTGCATGCCAGATCAAGGAAAGTGGCCAGGTTGCACCTACAACGCTGATTTTAATTAGGCTTTTGAGTACGTTAAACAAAATGGGCTTTATTCAGAAGAGGATTATCCTTTTACTGGAACAAAAAATGATTGTAAAGATATAGACAGTAAAAAGGTGGTTATGATAAATAGTTATACTCTAGTTTCTATCAGTGATCCATCATCTATGATCGAGGCAGTTTTCAGGAATCCAATAGTAGCTGAGATTGATCCTTCATCATAGCTGATGCAGATGTATAAATCGGATGTTATAAATAGCCAAGAATGTGGTCAAGATGCATGGCATAAAGTTTTAATTGTTGGTTGGGGAATTAACGAAAAAAATGAATATTGGATCGTCAAGAATAGTTGGGGCACAGACTGGGGTGAATAAGGCTATGCAAAAATTGCTATGGTTGATGGACCAGGAATATGTGGAATTTAGTTGTCTCCTTACAGTGTTGATATAGGGCCATTCAAAAACAAATTATGAATCAATTTCTAATTTTAATTCTACTCATCATAATTGGCATGGGGTTTTGGGGTTTTGGGGTTTTGGGGAGATCGGAAGAGCACACGTCTG